TTTCTCATCCTGACCCTGGCCCCCCCCCCCAAGGCCTCAACTTTCTCCCCCGCCCTCAAGAGATAATGAGAGGCAGTGGGCTTACTGGGCTGGCACCGCAAAGACAAAAAGTGTCTTAAGCAGACAAGGTGCCCTCTGAAGGGAGGGCTGTACCATGGAGCCCTGCACCTAAGGGAGGGCTGGAGGACTGTGTGTGGACAGACAGTACATTCAGGGTATTTACCCAGAGGGGTCTGATGGGGTCCTCCCCAGCCACAGGAGGAGCCAGGCTGTATGTTGAAGCCCAGAGGCCACAGCAGCACCTGCTAACTCCCGTGGGTCATGTTTTACCCTCTGACCACCAAGCAAGTTAGCATATGCTCTCTGCCTATGTACATCTGGACCAAGGAACTTGGGAGCTGGCTTACTGGGGTGCCTGTCTCTGCCTGTGTGGGAGGTCTCCGCCTCTCCCTGCTTGCATCCTGGCAGGGCCTTTCTGTTTGTATGACTGTGGCTGGGCATGGGATCTGGCTCCTTTGCTATCCCTTATAACAGAAAATGAAGGGAGCCAGGGTGGAGAGGAAAGATGGGGTCAGTGGTATCAGGCTGGGTTCTGGTTTTAGAACCAGAAGCAAAGGGGAAGTTGGTAGGAATATGGTCTCCATGACCACAGCTGGAAAGCAGCAGCTCGGAGGGTTTGTGGCTTATTGGAGCTGTTTAGCCGGCAGCTAAGCTGAGATAGGGACCCATCACTGTCAGCATTCCCCAGATTCTCCATCGCTTGCCAAGAGCCCCTACCTCTAGCACTGGCTGAGAACGTCCCTAAAGAGGCAGAACAGGGAGGCATCTGAGTCCTCTGGGAGTCCTTCCCGTCACACTTGTTGCACAGTGTGTCAGGGACATGTGGCAAGACCTGAGAGCCAAGAGTCTGACTTCCAGACCTGTCCTCATGTCCTTACGGGATAACATTTAAGAGTTGGCAGCTCCCTGGCTTCTAACCCCTCCGGTTCCTCTGGGCTCTGCCAAGAGGGTTGTATGGCCAGTGCTTCCTAGAACAGGACCGTGCTGACAGCATTGACTCGTCACTGGCTACCATGTTCCCCAGAGCCAAAAAGCAGATCTTTCCCCATTGGATGCCAGGAGGCACTGGCAGAGTAGATGGCCTGGCCTGCCCTGTGGATGCTTGGCTACTCGTGCAGGAGTCACAAGTCCCATTGGAAACTTCCTCTTGGCTGTAGCTCAAGCACCTTGACACTTCATTCTGGGCTCATCCTTTTCCTCCTCGCCTGGCCTGTGGCTTCGGTTTACCACCCCTGCCTGCTGCTGCCTGCTGTCCTCCATCTCCCCTTTGTTGCCTTCCTCCAACCTCAGTGCAGCAGTGACCTGGCAGTCTCCTCACCTGCAAGCAACAGCTTCTTCCCAAGGCTCTGGAATCCCAAGTCTGACCAAGAGGAGGACCTCATCGATTCTTGGCCTTTGGGCCACGATCAAGTGAGAGGGAGGGCCTCTAGTCACTGCAGAGGCTCTCTCGGACCTGGGCCTGTCTGGCTGTCCTGTAGGGGATGGGTCTCAACCTGAGAGCCAGGACCATAGTATCTGGGCCTCCGTGGCTGCTGGAAGCGGCTGGGCCCAGCTTGTGTAGCATGAGTTGGCGGGCAGGCCTTGAGCTTCGCGCCTGAATCGTGCCTGGCCCAAGAGAGCCCGCCACAGCCTCCCCCATTTTGCAGCCAGCGGAGCCATTCACACAATCACCTTCTGTTAATTCTATCTGCAACATCAATTAAATTGTTTGTAGAAACTAATTGAATGTGGCTTAATCACACATCTTAATAGCTTTCCACGCTCTGAACTCGTTGTTAATTCCAGTAATAAAACGAGATGAGAACGCTGGCTGGGTAATTAGCGAGGAGGCTGGGGAAGAAATTGCTGTTTGATGGTGGGTAATAAAGGCAGCCGTGGTGACCGCTCTCCTGAGCAGCCCTGCCACTGCCACCACCATGCTTCTCTGTTCTGCTGACGGAGGGAAACGCTGTTGCTCTGTGCCTGAGGTCCCTGTCCCTGCTACTCCTCCAGGCTCCTCACCGTGCTGTTCCCATGCAGCCCAGCACTGAAGGTGCTGAAGGTGACCCTGTCCAGCCCACAGGGTCTGGAGTTGTCAGGCGCAGTCCTTTCTCCTGTAGCCAGCTTCAGGCTCCTTGGTCCTGAACGAGGTCCCTCTGGGCAGCTTGTTCTTGGCACAGGGTCAGTTTTTCCTGCCATACCCCAGCTTGGGCATCTCAGGACTTGAGTGGGGCCTGCAGACTATTGTCCCTGCTGTGACCTCCTTGTGAACTGGAGCAGCCCAAGCTCCTCCCTCAGTAGACGAACTATAGTTGTGCTTTTGGCCCAGCCAGTTGATGAGTTGTCTGGAGCAGCCGATCCAAGATGTAGTTGTATACAAGGACTGAAGATGAGGATGAGCAGGGACTAGAGATCAGTATATACAGAGACTGGGGATCAGTATGTATACGAATCGGAGATGAGAACATGTGAAAGCTGAGTCTTTGGGATGGAGGCAGAGGGAAAGGTTGAGACACAGAAGGCACCTAGTGGACCCTGAACTGAAGACTAGAAGGATCAGATGGGGCAGTCCTTGGGAGGGCAGCAAGGGGCTGTGAGCTCCAAGCTGCTTAGGGCATTGGTCTGCCCGGCACATGGCATCTAGTGTAGACAGATGCTGGTGCAGCCCAGAACTAGAGAGAGAGCCCTGTAGGTGTGCTCCAGTGTGGTCAGAATGGTCAGGGTCCTCCTGGGGTGGAAGGCTGTCTTTGATTTCTCAGTAGGTGGTTCTGTGGGTTTGAAATGATAACTAGAACCTGAGAGCCTGTGCCTTGTCATAGGATTATGCCAGGACTACAGGGAGCGTGGGAGTAGAGAACGAGGCTTCTCCTTGCACATACTTTCTGGAGCAACTCCAGCTCTCTGCTTGGTTGGGCCTAAGCCTTCCTGAAGACTCTGGAAAACTGCCATGGCCACCTTGAGAACCAAGATGGCTGCAAGGTCAGCCAGGCTTTATGGGGCTGTACCCAGGCAGGGGGCACACAAGCCTTAAAGGGCTTCTGTGACAGGGAGCTAATTCTATGATTCTTCTCTCAGGAAGGTACGTAGTGCCAAGAGGGTAGATTTTTGCCACAGAATATGGAGATTGAGAGCTTGGAATTACCAAGGAGTCAGATGAGGATGGCTCCAGGCTAGATAAGGCTTTAGCCAGAAACTGCAGGGACACAGGGTCCCGTAGTCTTGGGTCCTGACTTTGGGCAGGCTAAGTTCTCTGGCTAAGGATGTGTCGTGTGGAGCGCATGGCCTTAGGGGGTCTGCAAACCTGGGCTTGGATCCAGCTCTGCTGCCTCCCTTGATCCTGGGCACATTGACCTTCCCAGCCTCTTTCTTCATCTCCAACAAAAACAGAGCACTCCGATTGCTGTGAGTTTGAAGTGAGCCTGGGCTACAAAATGAGAAAAGTATCTCACCAGACCAAGGCTGGGGGCAAAAAAATACTGCACTCAGCTGGCTGGGAAGGTCCTATGGGCTATGAAGAATTCCAATATATGAAATGTAGACATATTGTATGTAACACCCAGCCTGGGGATGGGCAGATGATAATCTGATAGCAAATCCATGGTGTGTGTACAAGGCCATGAACCAGTCAATATATCCCAAATCCAGCAAAAAGAATCAAAGGCTGTCCTTTAAACTGCTCAAAGTTGGGCTGGAGAAATGGCTCAGTGGTTAAGAGCACTGACTGCTCTTGCAGAGGACCCAGGTTCAAATTCCAACACCCGCCTGGCAGCTAACAACTGTCTATAACTTCAGTTCCAAGGGATCCAATGCCCTCTTCGGACTTCGAGGGCACTGTACAACAGAGGTGTATTTACATATGTGCAGGCAATAAACTCATACACATAAATAAAAATAATAAAAAATAAACTGTTCAAAGTTTGTCATCAGATTCTGTCCTAAGAGCCGATTGCTCCCCAGTGCCCAGGTGGGGGTGGCAGCTTGTGACAGGGACAGCCTAGGATCTGGAGGCTGATTTGTCTTCACATCAGAGTTGGTTGTTTTCCCTCCTCAGCCACATGAGTGCTGTCTCCCCTTAAGACTGCAAGCCTCAGCACCCAGCTCCAGAGCCTTTGCTTGCTGTTGACCCTGCCTTCCTGGCTGAAGTCCTTTTGGGCCCGGTGGAGACCTGGCTGTGATCTAGACTCGGGGATGTGTGGGCTTCAGAAACCTGCTCTTTGAGACTGAGCTGCTCCTTTTCTGCCCCCTACTCAAGAGAGCAGTGAGGGGAGAGAAGCCTAGACATTGAGGGGCAGAGCTGGAGACAGGCTGGCCTAACCTCTTCTGTCCTTCACACACCTTTAGGATTACATGCAGAACATCCATGGCAAGGAGATCGACCTGCTGCGGACAACGGTGAAAGTACCAGGGAAACGTCTGCCCCGAGCCACGCCTGCCACAGCCCCAGGCACCAGCCCCCGTGCCAACGGGCTAGCCATGGAGCGGAGTAGCACACAGCTGGGTGGGGGCACAGGTGAGGTGACTGCCATGGTGGCGAGTATGGAAAGTTCTGGAAGTGTGGGGAGTGGGTGTAGATAGGTCTAGCAGGGCAGCCTGGGCATCAGGGCTTCAAGGCATGCTCACCAGCCAGCGCCATACTTCAGGATCCTCTCCGCCAAAGCTGGTGGAGCTAGGCAAGGTAGCCTTGGCTATCAGGTGGGGCTGAGGAGCCTCGTGGTTAGGAATCTGGACAGCTTGTGGTCCTAGGGCCACCGCCTGTCTACAGCACACTAGCCGAGGAAGGCCAGTGTCTTCAGCTTGCTGTGGGGGTGAAACAGCTGCCTGAGATCCAGGCAACCATCTGATCTGTAGTGGATGCAGCATCTCTGCACAGAGAATACCAAGTTTAGAGAGGAGCAGGAGAAATACCCTGTCTACTCATGGGGGTGGAGTCGGGAACCGTAAGAGGCAGCTGTGGCGGGACGGCCTTTCTATGTCTGTCCTCTTGCCTCTTCGTGTGACAGTATGGTCTCGGGAAAGGCCCTCTCTCCACAGGTGCCTCTTTCCTAGTGCCAGCTCATTCATCCTTCCCTGGACCTCTCTTGCTAGGGTCCTGCCCTTCTGGCAGGTAGGGGCTGTTCTCCTCACGTTCACTTACTTCCCTTGCTCTTAGACCTGCGTGGGTTCCAGGCCTCACTTGTCCTACACGGTTAGAGCTCACTTTTCTTGAGCTCAGAAACTGCTGCTCAGGGCTCAGCCTGTCCTTCCAATGCCTTGACCCAGAGGCCTGTTCCTGGGCGGCATATGTTTTCTCTTAGAATGTGCCGCCTTGTAGAGGGGACATTTCAGGGGTCTGAGGGTATTCTGTTTGTCACCTGATAGGAAGGGGTCATAGATGTTGAATGAACAGGGGCCTGGGGAAACCAAGTCCATGGAATTGACAGTAAACCCCAAACAATAGCGAATTGTCCACTGTGAATACTGATGGGGTTTTCATGGAGAAAGTCCGGTTGGAGGGAAGTCAGGAGAGGTGCCAAGTGTGATCCTTGTTTGAGGCAAGGCACTGCATGTGTGGTTGTTTCACTGAGTAGATGAGGTATGGGGAGAAACCGGGAAGGGATCTGACCTCACCAACTGAGCTGTGCTACTGTAGTAGATTAGATGTCTCTTAACCAGGCCCCAGGGCCACCACAGCACCTTGGAGTTTTATTTTCATGAGAAAACAAAGGCTCTGAGAGGTGAATTTGTCTGTGAAATCCCACAGTAAGGGTGGGAACTGGGGTTTTCTCTGTGACTTTATTTAAACTACCTGAGCCAGAAGTGGGGAGCCCTTGACATGTACATGGGGTGCTCTAGAGAAGAGTGGGAAGGAAGCATGCCAGGAGGGTTGGCAGCGGAGTCCTCAGGCGTCAAGCTACTGGGCAGTCTCCTAAAGTTGCTTGCGGAGAACCAGGGAACCTGTCTGGCCAACCTCAGTGTCTGGTTTCTTGTACCAGGAGCAGAGGAGGGAGTTGGGTCTCCAAACGGAAACCTTTCCTTGAAGGTGATGATAGCAAGAGGAAAAGCTAAGTGGTCTCCCAAAATGTGGGGGAAGCAAGACAGCTCTCGCTTGTGTTCAGTCCGTCACAGACTCTGATAGCCTTCACCTATGTTGCCGCAGTGGTACGCAGGAGGGAGCCCTAGCAACTCACTCCCGTAATTACAGCACCCACACACAGGAACACATGGACGGGCTTTCCAAGCCTGAGTTCCCACTGCCGCACGCTGACACCGACCCTCATGCACACTCACACATGTCTCTCGCTCACCGGGCGATGTTAACATCTCATTATCTTTGTTACTGTAATTACATTATCCGCTGCTTTATGCAGAATTATCCTCGGAGGACTAATTGATGGCTCCATGTTTAATTCATTAATCATTAGCATCAAATTCGACAATTACAGTGCACACTGATTGTGGGATTGCAGGCGTAATGAGGGGAGAATTAACAAAGAAAAGGGAAAGCACTTTCCTCCCTCCGGGTTTTGGGTTGGGGGGCTTAGGGAAGAAGTTGGGCCTGTGATGTTTTCAGTTGGGGTACAGAATAGGGCATCCTATTTGGAACTTGGGAGGAGTTGGAACTAGTAGGAGGAGTAAGGGGAGAAGCAGGGGGCCCCCAAGGTTCACAGAAGCCAGAGGACTTATCAGGAGGGACCTGAGACCTAAAGCAGGATCCGGGTAGGATTTGGAGGTGGCAGCCGTGTGTTACTTGGGGGCTGGAGACCCGAAGGGCCTGTGGTCTGGGTGCCACATCTGTGTTACAAGCATATGTGTCCAGTCGTGGGTGTTGTAGAAGATACAAGAGAACCTGCCTTTAAGGATCACAGGCATTTGCTGCATTGGCCTCCCCTCCCCTTGCAGCTGCTTTTGCTCAGTGAGTGCTTCCTTAGGTTTCCAGAAACCCATGCACAAGCTTGCAGGGCTGCAAGGCCTCCTGTTTCCCCTTGCCTGCCCCTCCCTGCCTCCTCCAGCTTTGGCTGGCCCCAGGCCCATCAGCTGCAGTCAACCTCCACCCCTGAGTGCCTCAGACAGCCTGACCATTTGTGTTTGTCCCACCTGTTCTAGGACCCTGTAGCCATTTCCTCCTGGCCTCATCACCACCTTGGTCTTAGGGGCATTGAAGGAGGACTTAGGAAGCTTAGGAGGAACCTGAGGAAGCTTAGGTTCTCAGGCCCTGTGAGAGCTGGGTCTCTGAGGCTGGTGACTGTTGCCAGGCTCTCTGCGGAAGGGCTCTGGGCCTTGGATGAGGCAGGAGAAGGCTGAGAGCATTCATCCTCTTTGCCCATGGTTGGCCATGCCTGCCCAGCCTAGGACCCCTCGAGCCTTTGCCTCCCCTTGGCTCTGCCATTCTTCCCTGATGGGAAACGAAAGATTAATTTTCTCCAGCCCAACAGGATAATTACTAATACTAATTAGACATAATTACTTGAATTTGATACACTTACTTCTCATCAGAATGGCAGCAGAGCTGACGAAAGCAAATGACATATGTGGACGAGAGCACTGGGTGCAGGGGCCTGAGTGGGGCGTGGAGGAGGGACAGGGTGCAGCACTTGGCCTTGGCCAGGAGACCTCAGGTGTGGTGACCTCTTGTGGTGTCCCATGCCCCTACTCTTCTCGGCTCTCAGTCACAGTGATGGGCGTGGCCCTTTATATTCCTGGAGAAGTCCACTTCCTAAGTTGTAGAGGCTGTAGGGGGGGGTCTTGGCACCCCTCCCCCCCCAGTAAGCCTTGATGCTACCCAGTGAACCCCAGGCCCTCCCCCTCTGGTCATTATCATGTTGGAGTTACTCAAGCTCAGCCCTATAGCTCTGTTTTTTAGCACAGTATCTCTGTGCAGCCCCCACAGGCCTTCCCTCCCAGCATGATCCTTCCCACCCTCAGGTGCCCCCCACTCGGCCAGCAGCGCATCTTTGCATTCTGAACGCTCCCTCAGCAGCTCAGCCTGGGCTGGCCCACGCCCCGAGGGGCTACACCAGCGCTCCTGCTCCGTTTCCAGTGCTGACCAGTGGAGTGAGGCAGCTGCCCTGCCTGCCAGCATGCAGCACCCTGGTGAGTGGTGGCCCAGCCGCTTCCCACCTCTTCTGGTATTTGCTTAAGCAACAGAGAGGAAGAGAGCCCAGATGCCCCAGAGCCTGGGAGACTCTGATGGGCTGGTGCCCAGTAAGGGTGGAGCCCAGCAGAGCCCTCCGGGGCTTCCAAAAGGTACTACATTGCAGGCCTGGTACCACAGGGGCTCAGTCCCTTCTCCAGCAGCCACTATAGTTTGCTTCCTCTCACCCCAGGTCTAGACCCAACCCTCTAGCCAGCATTAGAGGCCAGCTCTCTATAGCTCCCCCTTCCTGGTCCTCAGGCAGAGCTGGTGGCGCTCCTGTATCCCCATCAGCCCCCTGCTCAGTCAGCTCATCAGCCTCTCTGCAGGGGGACAGGGAAGCTGAACAGGGGGAGGCTGAGGGCTCTGAGCATTGAGAGCCTTGTCGGAGGCAGCACTGGCCTGCCACCTTAGAGAGGGTCCCGGTCCCTGCAGAATTGGCCAGAAGGGGCTTTTTCCACCTATTCTGCTTCCCTTCCATGGGCCTGCCCTGTTCTAAGAGCCTGAAACGACTTCTTATCCCTCTCCCCTTTCCCACGCTGTCTATCTATCCCTCACTTCTAACATTTTGGCCATGGACCTTCTCAGCCCTGTTTGCCAACCCTCCTGAACCCCCCACCCACTTAGAGGTACATTTGCTTTACTCCCAGAGGCCCCCCAAAACCCTTTCCCACCACCTTCCCAGTGTACCTTCCCAGTGCCCAGCCACTACTCTGTGCAGGACAGATGAGAAAGTTGTTGCACCCCATATCCAAGAGCAAGGCTACCCTGGGGGATCAAATGTAGAGTCAGGAGCCCTTCCCTTGGGCCACCATCCCATGGCCTGTCTGGCCTTGGTGAAGCCCCTCGGTTTAGTCTGGAAAGAGTTAGGCAGGGAGGGAGGGAGCGCGTCTGCCTCTAATGAAGTTTGACATTTAGTGGTGAGCACCGGGCGGGGTGTGGGAGCCAGAGCTTGATTAGCGCGCTCTAATTGACAGTAATTAGGCAGCTCCCTGATTGTTTCTAATTCTGCTATTAATTGTGAGGAGCGGGGAGTGTGATTGAGGATAAATTTGGTGCGGAGCTGCTGGGGCTCCAGCTCCCTGTGAGTTCCCTGGGCCGCCTTCCACCCCTCCAGGCTGTGGAAGCACTTGCCTCCCTCGCCTAGCCTTTGCTTAAGTTGCCAGCTCGGCTAGTTTTCCTCCTCCAGGGCCTGGGAGCTTTGGGGCTGGGAGGCCCAGAGAGAGTGCTCTATATGCCCAGCTAAAACGACAGGACCAGCCCTCCACATACCCTGTGCCCACCTCTCCTCCCCTCTTCCCACACTTCTCCACCTCTCCCCTCACCAGCCAGTGGCCCAGCTGAGGTTCTCAGTTCCAGCCCCAAGCTGGAGCCTCCCCCATCTCCCCACTCCAACCGGAAGAAGCACCGTCGGAAAAAGAGCACCGGGACCCCCCGACCAGACGGCCCCAGCAGTGCTGCTGAAGGTTAGGGGGACCCAGAGGGAAAGTGGGCACAAGAGGTGGGCAGTGGGACCTGGACATCATACCCTAAAAGCATTCTTTTTTCCCCATATTAGAAGGATAAAGCATTTTCTCTGAAGGATTCCTGAAATCAGCAGTTGTAGCTCTTTTGGTAACCTGGACCTCATGGTACCTTAGAAGACTTGTTTCTGGTCACTCAAACCCTTCCTATTGAGCTGAGCTCTTGCTTTCATTCCTAGAGGAAGGCAGGAGCAGGCCACTCCAGTCAGTGGCTCTTCCCAAGACTTGCCAGGCAGGGCTGGTTTTCTGTCTCTTGTGTTACCCATGAGTTTAACAAGTGCTGGGGACATAACAGGTGGCTTCACACGCGTGTACGGCTGGCCAGTTCTTGCCTTAGCCTCCGGGAGCAAAGGTATTCCCAGCTCAAATTCTCTGGACCTCTTTTGTAGCCTCATCTTCATACGGCGCTGCCCAGTGTCTTTCCAGCCGCCTTCTTCTCAGGAACTGGGAATTTTTTGGTCTCTTCATAAGTTTAACTTCTTTGAGATGAACTTGCAAATTCTTGTTTCTGTTCTGACTGTTGCAGGGAAGGGTGCAGGTCAGATGAATGTGTCACAGTGATGCAAAGCCATGGTGGCACAGTATCCACTGTAGTCACTGTGGTCCAGGGTCCCGAGTCAAGTGGTGCAGGAGCTCATGGTGTTTAAAGACCAAGAGTGAGAACAAGGGGAGGTGCCCAGAGAGGAGGCAGTGGTTTACTCTGGGGGATAACAGTTCTCTTAAGGGTCCAGAGCAGGTGCTCTGGGGATTGCTGCATCACTGAGGTGAGAGGCTGCAGGGGCAGAGAAGCAGCAATGACTTAGGACCAGGGATGGCCCTGGCAGAAGGCATGGCTCACCTAATGCCACTTAGATATTAGTGCTGTCTCTCCAGCCCCCATGATGAGTCACACTGGGACTAGATCTTGTGGCCGTCTTCCAGGGCCTGGGGGAGCGGAGCCTGGACAGTGCTTGGGGCCACAGTGCAGCCTGGCACTTGTCACCACAGATGTCTTCAGGTCCTTACTGGTTCTTGGAGAAAACATCTCCTCCCCACCCACTTGCCCTTCCTGCCTGTCTGTGCCAGGGCAGTGGGGGAGGGGCCCAGCTCCCAGGAGCCCCTCGCTGACGCCGTCCGGAATATTGGGTTTAATGAGCTGCAAAATGAGGCGGCTGCAGCTGACACGTACGGATGGCGCCCGCACCCGCCTCCTCGCCCAGCATGAGCCTTCTAGCACCCGCCTTCTAGCGCCCGTCGTATCCTTCTCCACACTTAGCCCAGCTTCCTCAAGGATGCCCTTGCTGGTGTCCAGCACATTCTGGTAGTGCCCAGGAAGTCAAGCCCTTACGCCTGCCCTTCCCCCAGACTCCACAGGTAGTTAAGAATGGAGGGCAAGGGCACATGCTTGTCATGTCGCAAGTTGTCCTAAATTGTGTGGCCCTGGGGCAGAGGTGAGCAGATTGAGGAGGACAGGTGTATCAGTGAAGCAGGAGTTGAATGGAGTTGTGGCAGTGGTGTGTCTCTGGGGTGCTCTGGCAAGGAGACCTGACGGTGTACATGCCCTCTCCCCAGAGGTAGAGGAGTCCTTTGAGTTTGTGGTGGTGTCCCTCACTGGGCAGACCTGGCACTTCGAGGCTTCAACAGCAGAAGAACGGGAGCTGTGGGTGCAGAGCGTGCAGGCCCAGATCCTCGCCAGCCTGCAGGGCTGCCGCAGCGCCAAGGACAAGGTGGGCGTGGAGTGGCTGGGCCTGCCTAGAGCACCTGGCTGGGAAAGGGCTAGGGAGGGGACTTGTGACTGATCAGCCACCCTTGTCTCTCCCACCTCACGGCAGACGCGACTGGGGAACCAGAACACAGCTCTGGCTGTGCAGGCTGTCCGCACGGTCCGAGGCAACAGCTTCTGTATCGACTGCGAAGCCCCCAGTGAGTGTGAGGCCAGGAGAGCTCGGAGCTGGGCTTCTAGGGAAAGCTTTGCAAGTGACAAGGGGTGGCGGATGGTGTGCGGGGAGGAGGCCTTCCTCGCTGGCCCCTCTCTGGATACCATCTGCTGCATCTTTCATCCTCTGCCCACCTAGATCCAGACTGGGCCAGCCTGAACCTGGGCGCCTTGATGTGCATTGAGTGTTCAGGGATCCACCGACATCTGGGGGCTCACCTGTCCCGGGTCCGCTCCCTGGACCTCGACGACTGGCCACCTGAGCTGCTGGCTGTCATGACTGCGATGGGCAACACCCTAGCCAACAGTGTCTGGGAGGGGGCCCTGGATGGCTATGCCAAGCCAGGGCCTGAGGCCTGCAGGTGAGCTGGTAGGGCTCCAGTGCTGGTGACGAAGGAGGCAGCTGGGATTCCCACTGTGGGGAGGATGGTGGAATTGTACCCCGGAGCAGTAGCGGTGTTAGAAGGGTTAAAACCAACGGTTGCTCTGCTTGGCAGTTGGTCCCTGGGGTGCCCCTCCCCTGTGGGTGCCTGTCACTCAGGCGTTTCACAACAACAGGACCCTTTCTGAGCTGTTATCAGCAGGTCAGGGGCCAGCAGGAGGCGCATGCGCAGGGCCCGGTATCACAGAGTGGCTCCGGTGCCCTGGCCTGCGTGCTGAGATGAGGAGAATGGGTGGCAGATAGGGTCGCAGTGGCCCCCGCACAGGCCCCCGCCCGCTTTGTTCCAGTGCTGCCAATCGCAGGAAATTCAGACGGCCCGATAAGCTCCCACTCAGGCCTGCCTGGAGCCTTCCTGCCCTCTCGGCCCCCATATCCCTGCTGGCCCCAGGGGTCTCCCTCTAGTGTCCTCTTTCCACCACCTCCATTCCCTGCCCGAGTGTTGCTTTCCCACCTCCTGATCCCCCACCCCCACTCTGGACTGGATTCCGTCCTTGCCTCATGCCTCGATGGACCTGTGCTTTCAGAGAGGAGAAGGAACGCTGGATCCGGGCCAAGTACGAGCAGAAGCTCTTCCTGGCCCCGCTGCCAAGCTCGGATGTGCCACTGGGGCAGCAGCTGCTCCGGGCCGTGGTGGAGGATGACCTGCGGCTGCTGGTGATGCTGCTGGCCCACGGGTCCAAGGAGGAGGTGAACGAGACATACGGGGATGGTGATGGGAGGACAGCCCTGCACCTGTCCAGTGCCATGGCCAACGTAGTCTTCACACAGCTGCTCATCTGGGTGAGTCTGGGTGCCTCTTTCCTCCTCCTCTAGCACTCTCCCAGCCTCTCCTCCCCATCACTCCAACTGTGAATGTGCTTATCCTGCAGTACGGGGTGGACGTGAGGAGCCGCGATGCCCGGGGCCTGACCCCACTCGCCTATGCCCGCCGGGCCGGCAGCCAGGAGTGTGCGGACATCCTGATCCAGCATGGCTGCCCTGGGGAGGGCTGTGGGTTAGCACCCACTCCCAACAGAGAGCCTGCGAATGGCACCAACCCCTCCACTGAGCTGCACCGCAGCCCTAGCCTCCTATGAAGCTCAGGAAGAGGGCAGAGGGACCAGAAGGACTCCATGACCTGGAGGAAACAGACAGAAGCAGGGACATGCAGTGAGGAAGAGGAGGAGGAAACGAGGGACAGTCCAGGGGATGGGGAGAGGTCTGAGATTTGAGCTACAGCAGAATGGGAGTGTGGTGTTCAGCCCTCTGCCCTATGGTGCCATTAAGAAGGGACAGAACCCTTTGGAGGTGCCTGTGAGGAGAGGGGGGCAGGACCTCTCCCTCCTCCAGAACCCTGCCTCCTCTTGCCAGCTTCCACAAACCTTCACCCAGCAGTGGGGAAGGATAGAACACAGGATGGGGGTGCTGGATCAAAGAGATAAGGGGGCGATCTGTGAGTCCTGTGTAAAATTTGTACATTGGAATATTTATGTTCGTGTACATATGTGGTGTGTGTGTATGATGAGCCAATAAACCAGACTGTATGTGTGGCCATTTTCCCTTTGATGCCTCTGTACCCCTGCCCTTTCCAGAGTGCCCCTTGTCTCAAGATTCTCTCCCCTCTTGGAGCCTGAGACCTCTCCTCTCTCAGCCATCTATCAACTCTTTCAGCCTTCCTTGGCAGGGGTGGTCAACAGCATGGCTGCAAACCTGAGCCTGTCAAGAGATGGGACTCTGCTTGCTGCTTTCCCACCTCATTGCCCACTTCTGAAAGCTTTCCAGTGGTCTCTGTTCAGGCATTGATGCTCTATAAAGTAACCTCATACCACACTCTACCTTATGCCCTTACAGAGAGACTCTGGGTAAGCCCACAAGCCTGGTGTACAGGGAGGCACTGGAGGCAGCCCAGGGGAGAGCTTGGAGGGTGCCCCGGGGTGATACAGGACAGCTGTGTGGTGATGTGGCTCATGCCAAGGCTCTGCTTATGAGGAGAGAGGAGGGGCAGGTACCTGCCAAGCTAAGCTGGGAGCAGAGCCCAGATTCCCTGCTCCTCCATGCTGTCTCCCTTTACTCTTGAAAGAAAACCTGGGGGAAGTGGGTGAAGCCCCTCCCTACCAGTACTTGAAAGATGAGAACTTAGGAAGTTCAGGTGCTGCTTCTAGAACCTGGTCCCTGTCCTGGAACGTCCCCCTTTGCTAGTGGTCCATTTTTCTGAAACGCCTTGGAACAGGTGACCCATGTGGTGGGCTGGTGCTCTGCCTGGGCACCTGCCTACATGTAGGTAAATAACTGAGTAACGCTATTGAGAGACGAAACCAGATTTTATTTCTTGGTCTATGCCCCCTTTTGTAAGGCTATTAAATAGATCCTTACATAGGGCAGAATAGAGACAGTGTTTTGAGTAGTTATAGGACTGGGATCCTGGGCACAGGACAGGCTAGCTCCAGACTCCCTAAAGACAAGCCACTTGGGCTGGCTCCATGCTGCTAAGCACAGTTGAAGCCTTAGGGAATGCCAGAAAGTTAGGACAGGGCAGACCTTGGTGCTGACTGCCTCATCTTTCTGCCAGTGTTCACTTACCCCTCCCATAGGGGACACAAACCACAGAGCCAGAGCTCTGCTAGAGAGAAAACAGCTTGACCTCTGCCTAGCCTCCCCGTGTAGGTCAAGTAGAAGGATCAGAAAGTCTTGACCTTGAAGTATACCTGGTTGGGAATGTGGTGGATCTGGATTCCACGTTCAACACTGAACTCCCAAGCCCCACTTAAGTTAAATTTCTAAAAAACAAGACAACCTCCTGGATCTGTTCTCACTGGGGAGCCGTGACGATACCTGCTGCTTTGCTTGGGAGAAACAAACTGCCAAGGGCCAACCATCTTGGTCTCATAAGCATTCAACACCTAACTGAATGTGGCATTGGCCACTTTGGCATTCTGGGGATTGGCCAGGAAAGCAGGCCAGGAATGTGACTGGGCCATACTTCCCCTCCCTGGCTGTGAACACCGGAGCGTCCTTGCCTCATTCCTAGCCTGCTTATCTTTCTTTGTTTTCTACCTTCCCTAATCAATACAGGTCATGTTTCTTCCCAAGAAGGCAGTTACCACAATACCAGCTCAGTGGGTTTCCACAACAATCCATCCCGGAGGTCTCTGCAGATTTGTCCATAGCGATCCCTGCTCCTGGGTTTACTCTACCCACAGTTCCTTGGGTTAATTCCAGTCCCAAAGCTGCTCCCTCTTGTCTCCATAATCTCTACTGTACACCCTTCCAGAACTATCCTAGACTCGCCCCTATCTTATTTGGCAGTGGCTCCTCTAGAATCTTGTTCTATAGCAGAAGAGTCTGTGGGATCCTTACCCTTCAAAATGTGCAATGGACAGGACAAAGCACCAGCTAAGGCTGTAAGAGTGGAAGACCAGGAACAGGTCTCCCCAGGCGGGTCAAATGCTTTATCTCCCCTCGGTGCAAATTGGAGTGAGTCTCATCCTGAAGTGTACCACCTCTTCCAAAGAAGGAAGCCTAGAAGTTGCCTGTTCCACAGGCTCAGTGGGAGCAGGAGGTGTGGATGGATGTGGGATGGGCAGTGGGTAGAAGAATGCTTGTCAAGTGGAGGAGGGGCTACTGAGGAGCTCCCACGGCAGCTGCTGACTTCATGCCTTTGCACATCCTTGTGCTAAGGAGAGGCAAGACGGTACCCCTACCACACCAAAGCGGTAGGGTGGGACAAACTGAATGAAGCTCAAGGAAACAGAACTTTCCCAATGCCCCTTTGGGGTGCAGACAGACAAAGACAAATAGCTCCACATATACAAACTTTACATAAAATAAATAAGGAACTGTAGCCCCTGGCTGGTGCCATCCGGGACTCCTCGTCTCTATCAGAAGCTGCTTGGGGCCTAACCACAGCAACTCTCTGGGCCCTAGGCATGTCATAACCCCTCCCCAGGAGTCCACCTCAGTTCCGGCAGCTCCTCAGGGATCAGAACCTGAATCCTTGTACCCCTGAGGCCCCCTAGTCCTGAAGGTCTCTGGCACAGTCTTAAGCCAAAGCCCATATCTGCAATCTGGGGAGCACAGCAGGCCTCTCTCAGTGCCAGGTGCACTGGGCCCCTCTAGTCAGCAGCACCCAGTGAGTCTTGAGCAAGCCCAGGTGCAGATCATCTGCCTTCTGGTCCTCAGGAGCACAGTCAGGGCCGGGCCCCCTGCTCCATTTGTTGGTGCTGGCTGCGCACAGCAAACCTGTTGACATGCACAGGTATGGGCACAACGATCTTGGGGTTTCTTACAGGCTCCCCGGAACGGCTGCTCACGTTGCCAGCCTTGATGCGCTTCCACTTGGCACGACGGTTCTGAAACCAGATCTTCACCTGCACCTCACTGAGCTTGAGGGCATGGGCGATCTGGGACCGCTCTGTCAGACTCAGGTATTTCTTGCAATGAAACTCCTTCTCCAGCTCCAAAAGCTGCTCGCTAGTGAAGGCTGTGCGGCGCCTTCGGCTCTTCCCCCCAGGAGCAGTGACCCCTGGGGCCACCGGTGCCCCCTCCTCAGCTCCAGTCCCCAGGCTTCCCTTTAGCTTCGGTTTTGGTCCCAGAAGAGTCCCCGGAACCCCTGCAGAACCGTCCAGGAAACTGTCCTCGTCGCTGTCACCGCCCGAGCCCTCTTCTTCCTGCTCACTGCCTGCTGGGTCTCCTGCTGGGGCCTCCAGCTTCTCCTCATCCGAGCTGTACACCTTCCCCTCCGCTGTGGGGAGTGAGAAACCAACGGATGGGGAAGGAGAGGGCAAGGAGAAGATGGTTTGGAGGAGGCGTGTAGAAGCAGGTGACAGTAGGAAACGGTACATTCAGGAAGGAAGAGATGGGTTCAGGAAGGGGCAGATGGTCGTTGGGTGGGGCAGAAAGAGGTTCAGGGAGGACAAGGAACAGGAAGAAAGGTTTTAACCAGCACTGACTTCACTACGGAAAAGCAGGGAGGTAATGTGGGTGATTACCCCTCCACTTGCCCACCCCCCCATCTCATTCTCCCTACCCCCCACCTCCCAAATTTCTCCAAACCCAGGGCCCAGGGCTGCCTTTGCAGCCCACCCTGCAAGCCCAGACCTGCAGCCCTAGGATGAAGTAGTGTGGGAGCTGGCTGGGTGCTTCCAGAGCCCCCATGGGGGTATGTAGAGGGTCTTCTATGTCCCCCCGGGAATCCTTATCGGGCCAGGGAGCAAGAATAGTCTCCTGACTCCTGGCCCCACGTACACCTAGATCCAGGTCACAGAACCTTATGTCCAGATGGAAACTTCAGAATCATCTAGTCCCACCCAAACCTAGGACGTGTCAGAGGTCTCCTTAGTCAACCCTTTTCCAGCTCTAAACGGCTCCCAGCACCTGCCACTCCCCTGTGGCTAGACTTCCCTGTCTCAGCCTCTGGATCCTTCTCAGGACTCATCTTTTCCCTGCACCCACCCCTCCTGGCCAAGGCTGCCTTCACAGCACCAACAGAGGCTTTTACTTGGCTTGGCATCCTGAGGCTCCATCCAAAGAGCTTGGTGTCGCTAGGGAAGGCTAGCGGGACCACAGGAACAGCGGGCAGAAACCGCAGCAGTGCAGCAAGGGGAACATCTCAGCTCCTTCAGTGAGTGGCAGTGTGTTTTCCCAGGGTACAAACATTTTAATCTATATACAATTCTAAATGTAATCCAACCACTGGTTTTAGTTTTTTAATACTTTATTATTTTTATTTTATGTGTATGCGTGTATTGCCTGCACGTAGATAAGTGCACCCGTGTCGTGCAATGCCCGCGGAGGACAGAAGAGGCTGTCGGATCCCCTGGGACTGGAGCTACGGACAGTTGTTAGCTGCCACATGGGTGCTGGGATTCGAACTGTGGTCATCTGCAAGAACAACCAGTGTTCTTAACCACTGAGCCATCTCTCCAGCCCCCTTACTTCTTCCCTTTCTATAGTTGCTCCATAATGTTGGTGCTGGGATTCGAACCCTGGTCTTCTGCAAGAACAGTGTTCTTAACTGCTGAGCCATCTCTCTAGCCCCCAGTCACTGGTTTTAATCTCATCCATTGATGCCTTGGTCAGGACTGCAAATAAGACATTTTTCCAAACATTTTCAGGCTGAAGAGATGCTCAGTAGGTAAAAATACTTGCTGTGAAAGCCTGAGGGCCTGAGTTCAGATCCCCAGCACCATCATAAAAAGCCAGATGTGGCCAGCTGTGGCAGTGCACACCTGTAAGCTCAGTGCTATGGGGCAGAGTCCTGGGGGGGTCTTGGCTAGCCATTCTTGCCAATACAGTAAACCCAGTTTCTGTGAGCGATCCTGTCTTAAAAAACAAGGTAGAGGGCCAGTGGGATGGCTCTGTGGATACTGTCAAGCCTGACTCAGAACCGACTCCTGAAGGCTGTCCTCTGACCTCCACACAAGCATGATGGAACGTGCCATGCCCACACACATTCACAGTCACAAAATGTAATAAAAATTTAAAAGACAATAAAGTGCGGTGAACTGACTAAGGAAGACATCCTGACATCAACCTCTGACTTCCACATGTGCCCATTCAGGAGAACACAACTGCACACCCACCTGCACACATGCATATAACACACACACATACACACATGCACATAACCCGCACATAACACACACACACACAGACTTCCTTTTTAAAAACGTTTTCAGTGTTTGAGTTTTATAAGCGCCCTTGTTTTCTGCCCAAAGGAACAGAAAGTCAAAGGTAGCCCACCAACCAGTAGGAAAGGAAAGGACATGGGAATCAGGTGATTGGTAAAGGCGAGCCCTTGAATCAAGAGCAGTCAAGCAGCCCCCATGTCACCCACATCACACGCACGCTTCTCAGCATGGTCAGAGCTGAGAACACAGCTCAGTGTGAACTTAATCTCAGGTGCAGTGAGTGATTTCTAAAAGAAGCGGTGTACAAGGATACAGCACGGAAGGCAGGCTGACAGGGCTGGTCCTGGCTTCCTGTGCCTGCTCCCTGCCTGCCCCCTGCCAGGCTTGTAGTCAACAACCTGCTCCTTCCCAAGGGCTCCATGCCTGCTCCTTCTCTTCAGCAGTCAGGGGGACATTTGCCTCTGAGCCCATCCCCCTCTCCCGCATCCCAGTCAGCATCATGCTCTCTTGGCCTCTCCACTCTGTGGCAGCCCGGCCAAGCTCCAAGCTGCCTTTATCTTCCCTTAAGCATTTGCTTTCCAGGCGCCCTGCAATGTTTAGAGACTGTGTTAACCCCACCCCAGCTCCTGTGATGTCCAACCCCTGGACCCCCTCACAGTCACTCATCATCCAGTTTCTCACCACTCTACTTCAGGCCCAGCCATTTTATTTTCTGCAAGATTCATAACCCGGTACCCTCTTTCCTCTCGATGAGAGATCTTCTCATAGACTCGAGTCCCAAACTGAACCCCTAGTCTTTCTCAGTCCAGCTCCTCCTCATTCTCACAGCTCTTCCCGGTCTAGTAGGACCCCCACCCTCCCTATCTTCCACCCATTCCTCCCTCTTCCCTCTCACACCCCATCAAACCACCCACAAATCTGCCTTCTGGATCTGCCCAGGGCTGGACCCTTTTGGCCTACATCCCCTAGCCCAAGTCACTATGTTCCTCACAGACGTGGCTGCTTCTGGCTGCTTTCCATGTCCCTGCCCCACCCACCCCCAGCCTTCTCTCTGTCTGAGATACTATGGTCCTCCCCTGACCCATGCCCTACTCATTCCCTGCCTTCCTGGGGTCTTCCTTGTAGCAGGGAGACTTCCCTTACTCCCTTGTCACCTTTTTAGGATTAAGACGCCTTCTTGGACTTACCTACTGCTATGATACATATACCAGCTTCATCCACTTATTTTTTTTTTAAACTGGCTGTCTCTTCCTATTAAAAAATAAGCTTCATGTAAATAGGGATTTCAGATATATTTTATATTTTTTAGAATTATATTTCATTCACAGTTTCATCCTTGGTGTCTTAAAAACTACCTACAGAATAGGCGTTCAATAAATATTTAACCAAATAAAAAGACGCTATTTCTAGCTTTTGTGTGCATGCTCTCTCCCCCTCCCTCTTTCCATCTGTCAGTTCCCTTCTCAAGCCCCCCGAGACATCCCCCTTAACTCCATCCTACCTCCAGCACCAGTAAGATACCCCCCACAAGCATACCACCGTACCAGTGTGCCTTGGACACACACAGTGTGCCTTCCCCCCCACACAGAGGAATCCTGTAGGATCTTAGGGTGCTAAAAAAAATGAAGATCCCAACATTGTTAAGCCCTTTGCCTTCAATTTCTAAAACATGCTTTGTAATAATTAATAATATGTAATAAAAACTCCCAAAAACTCAGCCTAATGGTACCATGTTTTAAACAGTGTTAAAAGGGCAGAAACTAGATCTCAGGGCTTGAAGGATGAAACCATTTAGTACAGCACCAACCCCCAGAGGGGCATCCAATAAATCTAAATTGATGATGATTGAGATGAGGTTCCCAGCTCCTGGATCTGGCAGAGCCCTCCTGAGATCACCTCATCTATTTGTCTGTCTTCAGACAGATCCAGAAGCCAGCCACCCTCAGTGCCGCTTCTAAAGCTACACAAGGAGCGAGGGTTCACGGCCTCTCTCAGTTTCTTGATCCCGGTGGGATGCTGAGAGGCAGGGGCAAGAGTTTCCGTCTGTGCCTTTATGATCACGGCATTGAGGACTCTGATAAGCAACTCCTGGACGGAGGTGGGGGTGGGGGTGAGGCGGCTGAAGGAGCTGACGGGAACGCACAGCCACTGGCCTCAGAGGACAGGGTCTGGGGCAGTGGGTGAGGCCCAAGAGGAAAGGGCAGAAGCAGGCTGGATGGAGTAAGCCAGAGAGAAGTGGGGTTGAGAAGTGGCATAAGGATAAAATAATGTTGAACCAAAGTGAGAGGCTGAGTCTCAAAAAGAAAGGGAGAGAAAGGGGAGGGAAATTGGGGGGAAGAAAGCAAAGATGGGCTGGAGAGGTGACTCAGCAGTTAAAAGCTCATACTTCTCTTCCAGAGGACCTGAGTTCAAGTCCCAACAACCACGTCAGGTGGCTCACAACTGCCTGTAACTTCAGCTCCTGGGGGATCTGATACCGCTGGATTCTGTGAGCACCTGCACTCACATGCAACTGCCTCAGTCCCCCCCCCCACATACACACACATTAAAAATAAATTAAAAGAAGAAAGCAAAGGTGCTTTAAACAGCACTGCTGTTGCCCACCTCCCCCAATACTAAGCATTTGCAGACAAGCTAGGCATTTTGTCCAGCAGTTTGCACCCTACTCCACCAGCAGAGGGTGTGCTACAGAAATGGCAGCAGCAGGTTCAGCAACCAGGAGTGAATAAGCCCCCCAGCCACCCAAGAAGCCCTTCACAGGCCGCTGGTCCACATAGCTTAGCAGAGGACTTAGTTAAGGAAGAAATGCAGCCAGGTGTGCTGGTATAGCCCTTAATCTCAGTACTTGGAGGCAGGCAGATCTCTATGAGTTCAAAGCTAGCCTGGTCAACAGAGTGAGGAGACCACCCCTCCGTCCCCTCTCCCCCAGCTATGGCTACATAGTGAGACGACCCTGTCAAGGAGAGGAGGAGGAGGAGGAGGAGGAGGAGGAGGAGGAG